CTTTTGCGCAGCTTGCCCTGTATTCCCTTCTTCTGTTGTTTCCTTATCAACTTCCATTGGATCTGCTGTTTTGGTAGCTCCTTTTTCTCCTGTTTCTTTTGCAGATGTCTGTTCTGGAACTGCTTTCGGGGTGTCCTCTTGTTGTGGTGTTCCCTGATTCAGACCTTCTTGAACAGATTGTTCTGGTGGTTCTGTTGCAACTTCCCCCAGTGGACCTCCTTCTTTTGGGATGCTTTCCCTATTCACAGCTCCTGGATCAGAAACATCTTGCTCCTTTTCTTTTGGCTTCGGTGTAGATGCAGCAAGATCGACTGTAGATGGTTGTGAATCATCTTCTTTCTGTGTTTGCTCCTCCTTCTCCTCTTTGTTCTGGTCTATCTTTGCCTGTTTGAATATTTCATTGAGTGTTTTATTCAAACTGGCATTCATTTCTTCATCATTCTCTTCTTCATCATCTTCACACTGAAATTTTTCTCCTTCTGTTGGCTGAACATTTTCATCACAGCTTTCTTTCGCAAGATTCTCCTTGTGTTTGATCAGATTGTCAATTTGGCTTTTGTACTGGTCTTTGATTGCTTTCATCATTGCCTTCATTGATGGTGCAAGCAGTTTGATTGCATTCTCAGCCTGCATAATGGGAGTTTTTGTAAGATACCATGGTGGTAATACATGGTATTGGCAATTATTATCACTATTCTGCATTTTTTATAACATGAAACTATATCTTACCACACCTTACCATATGGTAACAAAGTAAAACAGAACAAGAATTATGGTTTCCTCCATTTTTATAACATGAAACCATTGCTTACTACACATTACCATATGGTAACGATTAAAACACAACAGGACTTATGTTTTCCTCCATTTTTATAACATGAAACCATAGCATACCACACCTTACCATATGGTAACAAACTAAAACACAGCAAGACTTGTTGTTTTTTTGTTATTTTTAAAACATGAAAGCATAGCTTACCACACATTACCATATGGTAACAAAGTAAAACAGAACAAGAATTATGGTTTCCTCCATTTTTATAACATGAAACCATTTGCTTACCACACATTACCATATGGTAACGAAGTAAACCACAACAGGGGCTTATGTTTTGCTCCATTTTTATAACATGAAACCATAGCTTACCACACCTTACCATATGGTAACAAACTAAAACACAAAAGGACTTACGCTTAGTATTAATTGGACAACTGTAATATAGATAATTTGTACTTACTTGGTTGACTGTTCTGATATTCTTCAAATCAAAGTTCAGTGATGATGACTGGTCTGGACTTTTGTTTCTTTGTCTTTTCGGTGATTCATAGACTGGCTCATTCTCCTCTTCCTCATCAGCTGCACCATCAGCCTCATCGTCATTAATGTTGGCAAGCTTTTCGATCTCGTTCAACTCTTTTCCATTGTAGTAGCTCTTAATGTTCTCAAAGTTGCTATCAACATTGTTATCATCATAGTAGCTTACTGTTGGTGTTCGAAGCTGGGTTGAGAATGCCATTTCGTCCAGTTTGTACATGAAGCATACCTTTTTATGCAGATAGTTGTATTAGTTTTTTTCAAAGAGTATCATTTATATATAAAATATATGAGTAACAAGGTTGAAATGGCCAAGGGAATGGAGACTTACTGTAAGGAAGTGAAGATCTGCACTGACATAGAGCTTTGGTGATTTCAATCCTTCATTCATGTGTTTGAAGAAGTATTTGCACCAGTTGTAGCTGGTGAAATGTTTCAGTTCTTCGGTCTTCAAGTACTCAAGCATGTTGAGTTCAGCCATAGGTGCTGAAGTTGGACACAGCAAGCCTCCGGTGACCAGCAGAAAGAACAATTGCATCCATCTCTTAGTCAGTTTGGTTGTAGGAAGATCTTTTTCTACCTGACTTAGCTTTACCCTTGGAGTGGATGTTCCATCTACTTCGAGTAGGGTTTCTACTGCATAATCTGCTGCGTCATCCCAAGAAATCGTGGGAGGTACAACTTCCCTATCCCCATCGGCAGACCATATACCCTATGAAAGTCGATTGGTGATATCTTCATGTGTGTCCCGTCAGGTAACTTGAACGATTCTTTCTCTGGATCGTATTTGTTCATTACGAACAGTGCAAAATGGTTGTTTATCTTTGTCTGCTTGATTGATATTAAGCCTGCTAGGCCTAATATGTCAAGTTGCTCTTTCCGCTCATCTGTTATTGACCTTGCAATTGCAGATATTCTTGTTGGGCTACACCTTGTGCGAAAACTGTGTCTTGGTTTTACCATAGTGTACCTGAATGTAGAAATTAGTAATAGTCTGTTAGTATGCTTTTTACCATAATATACCATATGGTACGATAATGGTTTCCTACCATACGAAATCAAACCATATATTTATCTCATTTTACCATATGGTAATTACATCAAACCATGTCTTATAACATATTACCATATGGTAACGAAGTAAAACACAACAGGACGTATGTTTTCCTCCATTTTTATAGCATGAAACCATAGGTTACCACACATTACCATATGGTAACAAACTAAAACACAGCAGGACTTATTGTTTTTTTGCTATTTTACAACATGAAACCATAGCTTACCACACATTACCATATGGTAACAAACTAAAACACAGCAGCACTTATGGTTTTTTTGCTTTTTTACAACATGAAACCATATCTTACCACACATTACCATATGGTAACAAACTAAAACACAACAGCACTTATGGTTTTTTAGCTTTTTTACAACATGAAACCATAGCTTACCACACATTACCATATGGTAACAAAGTAAAACACAGCAGGACTTATGGTTTTTTGCTTTTTTACAACATGAAACCATAGCTTACCACACATTACCATATGGTAACAAACTAAAACACAGCAGGACTTATGGTTTTTTGCTATTTTACAACATGAAACCATAGGTTACCACACATTACCATATGGTAACAAACTAAAACACAGAAGAACTTATGGTTTTTTGCTATTTTACAACATGAAACCATAGGTTACCACACATTACCATATGGTAACAAACTAAAACACAGCAGGACTTATTGTTTTTTTGCTATTTTACAACATGAAACCATAGCTTACCACACATTACCATATGGTAACAAACTAAAACACAGCAGCACTTATGGTTTTTTTGCTTTTTTACAACATGAAACCATAGCTTACCACACATTACCATATGGTAACAAAGCAAAACATAGTTTTTTGCTTTTTTATAACGTGCAATCATAGTTTACCACGCCATACCATGTGGTAACGAAGCAAAACACAACAGATTCTACACCAGTTCAGCAATGCATGCTAACGATTCGGTAATGTAGCAAGTTTTACTACAATTTTCACATGAAGAGTGACTGAAATACTGTTTCTATTGTTCTATGGATGGATTTCGAAGAAAGAAGTGAGGTTTTACCTTGATATTTTGTGCGAAAACGATTTTTGAGACTCGTTGAAGTTGGAAACCCTTCGTTTTTCGACGAAGGGTTTCGTTGAATGATTCTTCGAAAAGCTTTGCGAAAATCGTTCGATTTGAAGTTTTTTCTGGAAGTTTTTGCTGCGATTTTGGTGAGAGAATAGAGGAACGGGAGGAAGAATGGAGAGAAGGCGGGACGGTTGTCGCGGTCACGTCTGCAATTCAAATTGTCAGAAGGAGAGAAGGCGTGATTACCTTTTTGCCCCCGCGTGTATTTAATTGCCATGATCTGACGGTTGGGAAGATGGCGCGATGGACGGTCAGATGGACGGTTACTGACCGTTACTGATAGGTCGGTTACTGATAGGATCCGGACCCGGCTATTCAGAGCATCTATGGTTTGTTTTTCATGATAATCGGTTTATGGAGTTTTTTTGGAGGACAAGTGTTTGGAACGAGAAAGTAGTTTTGGCAAGATATTTTGTTACATCTAGTTATCACCATCAACGCTTTTGTGAGTTCTTGAAAAATAACTATTCTATATTTCACGATGGATGGGATAAGTGTAAACTACACACATTTGGGATGTCAAATTCTTCTAAAATTAAATTTTGCATGATCAAGGTATACTTAGGTTATAAAAAGATACAGTGAGAATATTTTGATGATTTTCTTTTCTGTTTTGGGTAAGTATTTTTTGGGTTTTAATTTTCTACATACAAAATTATTATTCCTAACTTATTTCAATTACCAATAGTTTATAAAAAATTATATGGATTGTACTTCTTTTAAGAAAGTCTCAAAGACCTCCGTGAAAACAAGGGGCATTTGTTTTTTTTTTTTTTTTTTTTTGAAAATTTACATAATCAAAACAAAAAGTACGTACATTGACGATTGAATTAAAACATCAATGAAAATCAATTTAGTATTGGTGGTCAACGGTGGTAAATAGTGATTAGTATATCTTTATTATTATAATTCTTACATACAATTATTTTTCACTATGATAAATTTATATTATTATGGTACATGTCAATGACACTATCATATAATCTTATGCACTACTAAATTACCTCATGGATATGAATTAATAATATGTGTCTCGATTTTTTATTTCAAAATATTTGAAAGTAGATATTATTTTAAAGAGCATGATAAATCTAATTTTTTCCTAGAAATTCCAATTTAAAGAAAAAATAAATATAATACATTGAGAAAGAATCATACATTACCAATATATATAATTATTTTTTGTAAAAAAAAAAAAGAGAGTTCGTGGTCGAATGGTCTGATTTTCAGTCTTGACGACCAACTCGTACCAATTGAGGGTTTAAAACGAGAAGGCCGGGCCGGGGAGTCCAGAGGCTACTGCCGGTCTGCTCCGGGCCCAAGACTCGAATTGTGAGCTGGTCAGGCCCGTGAAAACTCACCGTTAACTACCCATTAAAAAAGTACTGGCCCAGCACAGCCTTATCCGAAACTCGCCTTCAATAACAAAACTACACCTTCCGTTTCGGTGGCTCCCTGCCGCCGTTAATATTTCCAGTCCATCGCCTGAGCCTCCGCTGCCATGTTCGCCGCCTCCGCCTCTTCGCTGCAACATGTCCGCCAGCCCGTCACCGCGGTCCTTCCTGTTGAAGATTGGCGCCAAGAGATTCAAATTTTGTTCTTACTGAAGCTGTGTCGTTTTTAAGTTTGAGTTAAAGACTGTGTCGTTTGGCTTTCTTTCAGTTTGGTCACTCTAAGTCTGTTTTAGGGTCAATTAAGGACAAGCCGAGTGTTAAGGCTTGGGTTGCTTAGTGCAGAAGGTTAGGGAGTCTGTTAGCTGGTTTTCAGGGTCAGTGGGAATGATTGAGATTAGTGGGAGACCGAGATCATGGGCTGAGATTACTGTATTTATAGTTTTTCATCATTAATCAATAAACTTGTCAGTTTGCGTCATTAGGTTTTCACATTGTGGTATCAGAGCCTAAGTGAACTGTAACCAAAGAAGTTTCAGAAGGGCTTTCAAGCAAAGTGAGAACAGATTGCTTTCAAGCAATAGAGAGATAGAGAAACAAGTGAAATCAATTGATTTCTGGGTTGGGAAACACGAGGGACCAGTGAGGACATCTGTTTGGTGAGTGAAGCCAAGAAAATGAGTGAGGGAAGTTTTGGAACTGCTTGCATCCCTAAGTTTGATGGTGACTATGATCACTGGAGCATGTTGATGGAGAACCTGCTGAGGTCAAAGGAGTATTGGAGAGTCGTTTCTAATGGTGTTCAGGAGCCTGCTGGGGAAACTGAACTTACCACAGAACAAATCAAGGCTCTGGAAGACCTGAGGCTGAAGGATCTGAAAGCCAAGAATTACCTGTTTAATTCCATAGACAAGACCATACTGAAGACGATCACCAACGAAGGAACTGCCAAGGAGCTTTGGGACTCCATGAAAATGAAGTATCAAGGCAATGCTCGAGTTCAAAAAGCTCAACTTCAAAGCCTCAGAAGGAGTTTTGAAGTTCTGGAAATGAAAGAAGGTGAGTCAGTGACAGATTACTTTGGTCGAGTTATGGTGATTGCCAACTCCATGAGAAACTGTGGTGAATCCATGCCTGATGAGAAGATCGTGGAGAAAATTTTGAGAACATTGACTGAAAGATTCAACTATGTTGTCTGTTCAATTGAGGAGTCAAAAGACATAGAAAATCTCTCAGTTGATGCTCTCCAAAGCTCTTTGTTAGTCCATGAACAGAAGTTTCACAAGAAAAGTGCATTGGAAGAAGATCAGGTGCTGAAAGTTTCTTATGAGAGTGGTGGCAGGGGTGGCAGAGGACAAGGAAGAGGCTACCATGCTGGAAGAGGAAGAGGAAGAAGTGGTAGAGGCTGGAACAAGGAGTCTGTGGAATGTTACAAGTGTCACAGACTAGGGCATTACAGAAGTGAATGCCCTGAATGGAACAACCAACAAGGCTATTACAATCAGCAGGCACATTTCTCAAACTCTATGGACATGAAAGAGGATGTCCTGTTAATGACCTGGGTTGAAGAAAGTGTTGGACACAAAGGAAAGGAAGCTCTGGAAGCTGAGAAGTGAAAATTTACACCTCAGTTATTGATACAGGATCAGAACATGATGGCCTTTTTGGAAGCACAGCCTGAAATCAATCATGAAGGGTGGTGGTTCCTTGATTCTGGGTGCAGCAATCACATGACAGGAAACAAGAGCTGGTTTACTGCCATGGATACTTCTGAAAATGGAATGGTGAAGCTAGGAAATGGAACAAGGCTGGAAGTGAAAGGAAAGGGTGCTATCAGGATCACAACTGAGTCACAAACACTGGTAATTAATGATGCCTTTTATGTGCCTGGTTTAAAGACAAACTTACTTAGCATGGGTCAACTGCAAGAGAAAGGGTTAGAGTTCTTAATGAAAGGAAATACATGCAAAGTATATCATGAAACCAAGGGACTGCTTATGAACATTAGCATGAAATCAAATCGTATGTTTGCTTTGCACTGTGATGTTCCTGGAAATGAGTTCAGTGGTGATATTCAATGTCTGCAAGCCAGTGAATCTGAACTAGCAACTCTAAATCTCTGGCACAGAAGGTTTGGCCACCTAAGCTATCAAGGGCTAATCAAATTACAGAAGAAGGGAATGGTTACTGGACTGCCAGTGTTGAAAGGAGTTCCTGAAATTTGCACCACTTGTTTGGTAGGGAAACATCACAGGAAACCATTCCCTAAGAAAAGTCAGTGGAGAGCCACTCATAAACTGCAACTCATTCATGCAGATTTATGTGGTCCTATCACCCCCATGTCCAATGGTGGTAAGAGATATGTTTTTACAGTGATTGATGATTTCAGCAGGAAACTGTGGGTGTTCTTTCTGGCTCACAAATCTGAAGCTCTTGGAGTATTCAAAAACTTCAAAGCTCAAGTGGAGAAGGAAGCAAGAACAGAAATAGGTTGTTTGAGAACTGATCGAGGAGGAGAGTTCATGCTTACTGAATTCAGAACTCTTTGTGATGAAGCTGGAATCAGAAGGCAGCTTACTGCTGCTTTAACCCCACAACAAAATGGGGTAGCTGAAAGGAAGAACAGAACCATAATGAACATGGTCAGATGCATACTGGCAGATACCAAAGTTCCATCAGCTTTTTGGCCTGAGGCAGTTCTTTGGACTACTCATGTACTGAACAGAAGTCCCACTGTGGCTCATCTGAACAAAACTCCACAAGAAGTGTGGTCAGGAGTCCCTCCTTCAGTGGACTATTTCAAAGTGTTTGGGTGTGCTGCTCATGTTCATGTTCCAGATCAACAAAGGAAGAAGCTAGATGATAAGAGTAAGCCATGTATCTTCCTTGGAATCTCAGCAGAATCAAAAGCTTACAAGCTATACAATCCTGAAACAAAGAAGATTGTTGTAAGTCGAGATGTCATATTTGATGAGAAGCATGGATGGATCTGGAATGAAGAGATACAACCAGTGCTACCAAGTTTGTTTTGGGAAGGTAGTGATGAAGAGTGGTTTGATTCTGACACTGAAGATCAAACTGAAGAAATCACACCTGCTGTTGTTATCACAGAAGCAGAAGCAACCAGTCCACATACTCTAGCTGCTCAAACTACTCCAGAGATGACAGAAGAGGATGATGAAGAGAATGAAACTGGTATTGATGTTCTGGGATTGCCTACTAGTTATGAATTGGGGCCCAGAATAAGAAAACCACCAGCACACCTAGCTATCTATGACACTACCTATGCTGAGTCTGAATGGTGTGCTATGGTTGCTGTGACAAATGATCCAGTCACATTTGAGGATGCTGCTGCTGAAGAGAAATGGAATCAAGCAATGAAAGCAGAAATGCTTTCAATTCTGAAGAATGACACGTGGCACTTGACTACTTTACCTGCTGGAGCTAGGTGCATTAGCCTAAAATGGGTGTTCAGAACCAAGTTTAGAGAGGATGGTTCAGTGGATAAGTTCAAGGCCAGACTTGTGGCCAAAGGATACTGTCAAAAACATGGCATTGACTATACAGAAGTCTTTGCCCCGGTAGCTAGGTGGGACACAATCATGACTTTTCTTGCTCTTGCTGCTCACGATGGTTGGCCAGTGTTTCAATTAGATGTAAAGAGTGTCTTTCTTCATGGCAATTTGGAAGAAGAAGTATATGTAGAGCAACCACAAGGCTTTGTGGTTGCTGGGGAGGAGAATAAAGTGTACAGGCTCAAGAAAGCTCTTTATGGGCTGAAACAAGCTCCTCGAGCTTGGTACAGCAGAATTGAGCAGTATTTTGTTGCAACTGGGTTTGAAAAGTGTCCCTATGAGCCTACCTTGTTTGTGAAGAAGGTTGGAAAGAACACACTGTTGGTAAGTTTGTATGTAGATGATGTTATGTATGCTGGCAGTGATGCAGGTCTCATTCAAGAATTTAAAAGATCCATGGAGGCTGAGTTTGAGATGAGTGACCTGGGACTGATGAAGTACTTTCTGGGTGTGGAGGTGAATCAAAGCACATCTGGTATATTCATTTCTCAGCCAAAATATGTGAAAGAAGTGTTGCAAAGGTTCAATCTTCTGAATGCAACTATGCAAAGAATCCTATGGTTTCTGGAACAAAGTTCACAAAGGCAGGTGATGGAAATCTAGTGAATGCCACTGAGTACAAACAACTCATTGGAAGCTTGCTGTACATCACAGCAACCAGGCCAGATATCATGTACTTTGTGTGTACATTAAGCAGATACATGGAAGCTCCTACTCGTTTGCATATGCTGGCTGCAAAACGAGTTTTCAGATACCTTAAAGGTACAGTGAACCATGGAATTTGGTACAAAAAGGAAGGTGGGGAGGATTGCTTGCAAGGTTATACAGATAGTGACTACGCAGGAGATGTTGATGATAGGAAAAGCACCAGTGGCTATGTATTCTTTCTTGTAGGTGGAGCTATCTCCTGGGGATCAAAGAAGCAGCCTGTTGTCACACTCTCAACAACAGAAGCTGAATTTGTAGCAGCATCACACTGTGCTACTCAATGTGTTTGGTTGAGGAGGATCCTAACTCAAATGGGATGGAAGAGCAGCGTAGCACAAGGAACAAGAATCCACTGTGACAACAGCTCTACGATTAAGCTCTCAAAGAATCCAGTTTTTCATGGGCGAAGTAAGCACATTGATGTTCGATTCCATTTCCTGAGAAATTTGGTAAACGAAGGGATTGTGGAATTGGAATACGTGGGAACTGGGGAGCAAGTGGCAGATGTAATGACCAAGTCTCTGAAACTGGAAACGTTTCAGTTAATGAGGGAAAGATTGGGGGTGTGTGATTTTGATGTGTTCGTAGAAGCTGAAGAAGGAAGAGTGAACTGAAGGTGAAGAAGAAACTTCAGTTCAGGGGAGGATGTTGAAGATTGGCCCCAAGAGATTCAAATTCTGTTCTTACTGAAGCTGTGTCGTTTTAAGTTTGAGTTAAAGACTGTGTCGTTTGGCTTTCTTTCAGTTTGGTCACTCTAAGTCTGTTTTAGGGTCAATTAAGGACAAGCCGAGTGTTAAGGCTTGGGTTGCTTAGTGCAGAAGGTTAGGGAGTCTGTTAGCTGGTTTTCAGGGTTAGTGGGATTGATTGAGGTTAGTGGGAGACCGAGATCATGGGCTGAGATTACTGTATTTATAGTTTTTCATCATTAATCAATAAACTTGTCAGTTTGTGTCATTAGGTTTTCACACTTCCTACTTCCACTTTCCTCATACCATCCCCTTCTTCTACGTAAAGTTTCACATCTTCGTCTCTAAACTAAAAATACCATTGTCTTTTTTTGCAGGGGACCGGTGCTTCAGGGGAACAATACAATCCGACGGCGAAGAATAAACCATCTTTCCAAAAGGCGGCGGATTGTAGAAATTCAGGCCTTTCCCCCAAATTCTCCTACTCTGTTCATTGTCTGAATCTTCCGAGGAATTCGGTAAAGGCACGAGCGGGTAGAATTAGGAGGAGAATGATCCACGAAAAGACGGACACGTACGTGTTTCTGGAGCCAGGGGAGGATGAAACATTTCTTAGCGAAGAAGAACTCAAGGGGAAACTAAAGAGCTATTTGGACAACTGGCCGGCCAAGAGCTTGCCGCCGGACCTGGCGAGGTTCGAGGCCATAGACGATGCTGTTTCGTTCTTGGTGGGTTCGGCATGCGAGCTTCAGATCGATGGAGACGTTGGCTCACTCCAGTGGTATCAAGTTCGTTTGGAGTGATTGAACTCAAGGAGGTTGAATTGAGGTTGGAGCATGTCATTTTTTTTTCACCTCGACTTTACAACTCGTTTCGTCATATTTCTAGACCTTTTCTAAAACATAATTTAGAATCATCATTTGAGATTCTGTGTCTTCTCTCAATCTTCCAGAGAGGACGAAAGACAAATTCTTCACTCTCAGTTGTTAAAAACATAATTACTCTTAATTAGCGTATAGAAATACCAATGTACGTGATCATAAGAGTTGATACATTTGTAAGAGGAGGTGCACAATGGAACTAGTTTGCAAGAACTAAGCAGACAAGCTGCCAAACCTAAACTTGAAAAAAAAGGGATAAATGAACCCATTAACCAAAAGTGGGAGCACAACAGAGATGTTACAACAATTTACAACCCATATATATATATGCTAAATTACAAACCGCCATTAGTTTTTGAAGGTCTGCACTTTAGTCTGCCGCCTGGAGCTGCAACGATTTGGCAGGACAAACAATTAGGATGTGTAGTAGAAGAATGATTGCAGTAACTGACTGCGGTTCTCGTTGATGGGTTAAATAATACCTTTTGGGGCAGATTTGTGCCGATGGGCGGCAAAGGCAATGGAGCTCCTTCTCCACCGCCACTTCTTTTCCTTCCCATAAGGCCTCTCGTGATCGGAGAAACCATCGCATCAGTCGGACTCCTGTACCTGGAAAAAACAAAACCCACAACCGACCACTCTTTCATCCCAGTAAAAGTCGCAGTAAAATTAACTGCCACTTCACACACAGGGAAGCTGGATATTTTACTGATGAAAACGATAGATGAACACGCTTGATCTGAACAGAAGTCAATCTGCCTATGGAAAACGGATCTGTAGGGTGGGAAGAAGGTGATGACGTACCTTTCTGGGTACTTGAAAGCCTTGGGAACTTGGAGGGGAACAAGAACGGGGATGTTGTCGCCACCACCGCCGCTGCTTTTGCACAGTTCTCTGGCGCCACTGCTGATCACTTCATCTGACTCCAGAGATGAACTCTGCTGCTGCACGGTTGATTCCAGCTGAGAAATCACAGCACTTGTTTGATTTGATTGAATAAGCTTGTTCTCTACTATCACCTCTTCCATGGCTCAACTTCGGCAAGTCACTTGTCTGATGACTGATTGATTAATAAAGATATAGAGAAAGGGGGAGATAGATAACAAAAGGAAGAGTTTTGGGTTTGGCTGGTTTTCTTTAATAATGGAAGGAAAGACGAGTTCTTTCGGATCTTTCTGTGTGGAGCAATGGCAACAACGGAATATAGGCACAGTTTTCTTTTGCTTTTTTTTTTCTGAGAAGGGTGAAGTAAAACGTGGGTCGCTGTTGAACCTTTGAGTGGGGCAAAGAATAAAGGAAGCGAAGATAGAATTGGTCATTATTGGTTTCACTCCAACCATTCTTTGTGGATGCGACGACCGTTTGGGATGTAGTGGGTTATGGGTTTGTCATGGCTCCACTACCAATCTATAGCAAAGTAATCGGGAAAAACAGTGCACATTGGTTGAAAGCAATACAGGGTCTTCAAGCCCAAACCAAAAAGACACTTCTAGCTAAAACACCCTTGACTTGTAAACCAAAGAAAAGTTACTTCCTTTTCATAATTCATATAGAAGTAAACATCAATATAAGGAAAAATTCTTTGCATGAATTCAACTAGGTTACCTTACAACTCTACCTTCTCAATGTATCGAGAACCCACTATAACTGGAAGTCCTGGAATGAGAATATGCACAAGTTTATCAACTCATAGTAGCAGAGGCAGCCGCTGGGGTAATTCTTCGGCTCTCGCAGCCAGGGCAGTTGTGCAAGCTCTCGTGAATATAAATGTCACAATCAAGGCAGAAATACTGCTTGCACTTTGTACAAGCCGCACAAGGGCCAGCCTTGTTAGTACCTGCGATAGGACCACCACATCAGCATGCTTAAAATTTTTACCATGGCAGTCCATTTACTGACATCTGAAATACGAGAAGTATCGAGGGAAACACAATTGCACTTCATATAAGACTCCACTATTCTATTTACGTAACTATTTCAGCAAACCAAGAAACAGTCATAGACATTACAAACTCAAAAGTAACAGTAGTGACAGCAGCAGAGTTTATAGCCCCCAAGTGGCTGCACCAGAAAAATAGCTCATACATCTGACATATAACCAACTTCAGTCTTGCATGATCAATACTGTTAGTTTATTGCTAAGTAACCCACTGCCAGAGTTTGCTGCCAAAAGCTTTCTACATATACTGATTTCCAACAGATAACTCTGCATATAGATCACTTGTATTAGCATAACTTACCAGGAGTGAGAAGGCTCTCTCGACAACTGAAGCAAGTTTTGGAAGCAACTCTGCTCAATTCCAATTGACGTGCAGATACCTCGGTGAATGGCTCGATTGGGAAAAGATGATGATAAGATCTAGCTAGATGGGGTGATGAGACAAGTGTCAATCCACAGAAACGACATTCTGTGGGCAGTTCACATACACGGGCTTTGCATCTTGGACATATATACCCTTCACCTACTTTAGCTTCTCTGTGGCAGGAGCAGATTGCTATAGAACCTTCTGCGGCTCTTTGTGGGAAACCCATCTTGATCAAGTTCGCAATGGCAAATTCAGCAAGGGCAGGAGGAGGTGGTGCATGCTCTAGTAAGAGCTCTTTGAAGTGACCCTGCAAGAAGAGAATGTGCACCAGTTCCATCAGTAAAATATACAAAGAGCAACCTCAAGAGAACAGAAAAAGAGAAGAAAACCATCCATTAATCAACAAAACGGAGTGAGGCCAAACATAACTAAAACTAGCAGGTTCACTAGCAGGAGCAACGGTCAGTAAGTTTCATAAACTGATCACTCATTTCAAAATTCAAAGAATGGACTCCAGACAATTGTTTCAGTGATAAGTTCTGATTATGTAATTCTTGCATACAATGAAGGAAATCAAACAGTTCAAGTAAATTCTGCAGGGTCATTAGATAATCAAACTGACCTCATCCAAGGCAACCATGTATGATCCACCAGTTTCCTGGCAAAGATGTTTGCACACAAACATTTCAGCAGAGAGGCCAATAACCGAGCACCTCAGTTTAGCCTTCTTGCATTTCTGGATAGTCTCCATTATATCACCCGGATCACAGGTTGAGAGTGCAGAATACAAGATGAGAACTTCACGGTGACCATATGATGGGATTTTATGGAGAGTGTCATGGACAAGTTCGAGAGCATTCTGGAGTGACGAGTCCCCTGCACAACCTAGCTTAACCATCAAGGCCTTAATATGGGCCTCTGGACTCCCACCAAGTTCAGTCAAAGATTGAGCTACCCCATCTTTTATAATCACCAGACCAATCTGACTAAGTGGGTTCTGGTCGAAAAACTCCCTAATGAAAGTCTCAACATGTTTTGCAATCACAGCCATCCGACTGGGTTTGAAATCCATCTCTCCAGCTGCCTGCCGAAAATTGACATCAACACTTCAAAATCAAGCTAACAACCAAATTGCTTAGAACCTTTCATTCATAACTTCTGATGTACAAGTTCCATTGAAGACTGAGAATAACTAGGGGCTAATAACCAATCAACACACATTCTAAAATTCAAGAAACCAGCAAGCATCTCGCAATAGGTTACACAGATTATCAACACTGACTTGAACTACATAACACTGATAAACAGTTTGTCATAAACTACTGCTAAAAGTAAGGGTTCTAGTGTTAGACTTGCCAGACTTGAACTTGGAGGGGACAGGTCAAATGAGAGCCACGTATTGATCACCTCAAAAGTCATTACACCATCAGCTATAACCCTATATCAAATGAAAATCATTAATACCTTGGAAAGATCGACCACGACGCAGAGAAACCGAATGAGCCCCTTTTGGATCCTTGATGCAGCGGACGTGGCTGAAAGAGATTGAAGGCGTCTACGATACTGAGAATGGTAGATTGCCTTGTTATCAATAGGTTGAAGCAGTCCTGACTCGTCCTCTTCCAATGCCTCCCATGATCTCTCGTCTGTGTATGTCCTCTCCCACGCATCACGCCCTTCATCTTCAACATCTTCTTCATTCTCTTCTTCTGCTTCACCGTTCCTCCGCTTCTTCTCACTGTTGTTCATGATTCTTTCTTTCTGGGCTAGGGATTCAAGATTTCCTTCTACCTCAAACCGAGGGAAACGCTATTCCAACCCTCAGACAAGTTTCATTCTAGAGGTTGATTGCGAAATCGACTAACAACCGTGAAAACGGCTTCCCACCATTACATTTTCCATTTAAGAGAAAACTAATCGGTGCAGAGACTCCAGACTCGATTATCAGTTCACTGGAGCTGGACCGGACTGAAATTTGATGAATCCGCAACAGCGGAGCTGGAAAGTGAAGGATTCCGCCGCCGCCAAATTGGCAGGCAATGAGAGAGAGAGAGAGGCCAACGAGCGGTAAGCTGGGCAGCAACTCCGGCAACAAGATTGGGAGCCGGCGGGGAAGGAACTGGTTTTGAGTTTTATTGGAGTACTTCAACCCTAATTTTAGGGATTGTTTGGAAATTGTGATTGTTAGAATTGTGTTTGTTGAATACATGTATTGTGCACAATACAATGTTTGGAAGTGTCAAAGTGTAAAACAACGCATTGTTTTAGGTAGGTTCCACCAACAATCACAAAAAAATGATGCATTATACAATCTCAACTAAAAGTTGTGATTGTTGTGATTGTTTGTTTTAGATTTGTGTCAATTTTTTCTTTCCATTCATATTCCTAAAAGTTTTTGTCTTATTCTAAAAGTTGGGGGTAAATGTGACATTTCCCTATAAAAGTAACTTTTTGTAAATCAATGCATAAAGTAGAATCTCAACAACCAAACAATGTATTGTTAAAATGCATCAATTGTATCAATACATGCATTTATATTATGGTGATTCATTACAATGCAACGGTTTAACATTCGTAACTTCCAAACGACCCCTTAATTTTATTCACCAGATCTCGTTTAACCCCCTGAACAATTTTAGTTGAACTTTTTGGCCTTAAAATTTTATGGGTTTACCTATAAAAGTCCCTAGACAATAGAAATTTCCAACTGAACTCTCGGACCCAAGGTTGTCAAACCGGTTTACCCGGTATGCCAATTTTACAAGTGGAATGATTCAACCGTGGCATATGCCGGTACATGCCGGTTTTAACAAAATTACATAAAAATTAATTCATACATGATAATCAAAGATCAAAACATCAGGGCACCAGAAGAAATACAAATGAAAGTAAAATTAGATAGTGTATTAACCCAGAACCAACAAGACATTCAATTATTGAATTTCTTCATCTTTGGCCAAACGGATTGTGGAGAAGAGTCGGGCAAAGAGGATCCACCATTTAAGGGGCCTTTGAATTAGCTTCCGGGGAGGTGAGCAATTGATAAAATAATTCATGGCGGCAGGATGTAAAGGTGTCGATAGGCGATGGTGGAGGGATGGAAGTTGCGAAGGCGACTGCGGCATGTTATGGGCCGTTTACTTGCCATTCCATTTCTGTTAGCTGCCACAACAGAAAACAAAATTAAAATAAAAACGAAGCTGAACATTTCCTGGAAAACAAAATCTGAAAAAACCTTGTTTAGCTGAGAATTTTGATGAGTTCTGAAACTGAGTTCTGAAAAGAAAATCTGTTTAGTTGCTTCATTCTGTTTTCTGATTCTTGATTATCATACAACCCTAGCCATGATTATAATTTTTAATTCGAATTAAATAGTTTTTAAACTAATAAACACAATACAAGTACAACATCTTATATTAATTAAGTACTAGTACAACATAAAAATTCAAATAAGTCCAGTTTTAAAGTCATCCCACAACTTGTTTGCTATTCCATCTCGTCGTGCATCCATCGCTCGAGTTTGGCTTGAACTATGATTATATGCTTCTCGTTCTTGTCCTCCTTGCACTCCATTGGCATTCTCCCCCGTGCAATAATTTTGAGCACCTTCAAACAGAGTGTCGTCACCAGAGTGGATCCTAATAAAGTTATGTATAACACAACATGCAAGAACAATGATTAACAGTTGAGTGGAAATTGAACAGAGAAAAAAAAAAGAACCAAGATTACAACTTCCAAATTTGTGTCTCACCTGATCAACAGCTACTACGGATCCAATTCCATTGAACCAGTAGGATTCCCTCCTTAGAATCTTCACCTGTTGCACATGTTTTAACAACACAGATGCGTCAAGCCTTTTGCTGTATGATGATCAGTGAATACAAGTAGAGGGAAATATATTATATATATAGTAACCAAAATCTAACCTTGGTTCCTCTCTTGGGTCCAATCGGTGGCGGCTTGACCTTAGCCTTAGGAGCTTCACCATCTGTCGTTGTAGTAGTAGCAGCAGGTGGCGCCGCTCCCTCGTCGGCGGCCGCCCTCACAACGAGCTGCAGCCTGGAACCGCTGCTGCTGCTGTTGTTCTTGAGCGGCGGGGTTGGAGGGGAGTGAGGGAGATGAGCGGCGGGGCTGGAGGGAGTGAGGGAGATGAGCGGCCGAAGTGGGCTGGAGGGAGAAGAGGAAGAGAGCGGCCGAAATTAGTCTCTAGGGTTGATTTAGGAGGGCAAAACGGCAGCGTAGGAGGTCGGAGGAAAAAGGGTAAAAAAAAAGAGCGTTGTGGTGAATCGAACGCGGGCCGATTGAATGGATTAGTGCGTTTTCCGCTGGGAAACGGGGCATAACCCATGTCATTGTTTTCGGAAAACAGGTATTAATAGTTTTTCCAAAGCTTTCCCATTTGTAATAATTGGGTTTTTTCATGGAAAATGGAATGGTCAAGTGAACACGTTTAAATGTCATTTGTTTCCTGATTTTCATTTTTTAAACAGAAAACAGAAAATGAAATGCGAAGTGAACAGGGCATTAGGTTAGGGTTGTGTTGTCCATGTTCAGCTGTGGGGGAAGTGAACTTAATCCGATTTGTTGACAAAATCAGACCCGGCCGACTTGATTTCAATTAACGTGAACCTTGAAATCGTACAAAATCATAGATTTTAAGGATTTTAAAGTTTTAAATCGGGATTTTAAGGTTCAAAAAATTTGAGGTAAAATAGTAAATCGTAAAATTTTTAAATTAAAATCGGAATTTTGACTACATTGTTGCGACACTGTGACTAAAAATTAATTTCGATCAAGCAGCATAGTGAAACAAGACTCGGTCACTGGACTTCTGGGCCCATATGAGTTTAGTTTCTCAAACGGCCCAACTGGGCTGGGCTCCCCTATCTGACATCATGGTAACATTGTGGGATGACGTGTACACAATTATTGGGTCTGTTTTATTAACAACCAGGACACTATCTTTATGCAACTGTCATTAATTAACTTAGCAGTAGCACTCACTCTAAAGTCTAAAGTAGAAGTTGCTCGTAAAATATATTTGTAGTGAGTGATATCAGTTGTAAACTTGTAATAAATTATTATAAACTACGTAAGGTAAATTGGTTACACTTTGATGTTGCAACATAAAAGTGTTGACCCATATGAGTTGCTTCTTCAACTGGGTAAACTTCTTTTTGTTTTTTTTTTCTCTCTTTCGCAAAACAAGATATATCGTTATATAATATAAGCTTGAATTTGACCAAATTATATTGGTCCATATACAGACTCGGATGCGTTTATTTTCGTGCAAAAAGAAAGAAAAAAAATTATTCCTAATTCAAAAGTTTCTGTAGCCAAGCCGCGTAGGGTACAGCCGGTCAAAGCTCAAAAGGATGGGTTTCATATATTAGTAGTCACTAAACTTCAACAATACTAGCACATAGGTCATTGAAATTTCCTTTCAATGATTTTGTCACTCAAGTATAGACTAACGTAATTGTCACTTTCTTCACATAGATCGAGTTTTTGGGTCTCGATCATCTAGTTGGTTTCAATGATTTGAGTTGTTGGTAGAAATTTGACTTTGAATGTCATTCATTTACGCACCTCCACAAGGTAAAGGCAAGCGCATTGGTAGAGGCAGGGTTTTAGCCTTTGTCATTGGACATAGGTAAATTTTGGTAGAAATATTATGTTTATGCGAGAGATTGAACTCACAATTCTAAGGTGACATAATGGTATTTTGTCACTAGAAAAAACTCAATTCTTGTTATATATGTTAAATACTATTTTTTTTATTTTGTAAGAAAATGATATACCTAATTTCATGTCATGTTTTGCCACTGGGCAAGCGGACTTGATCCTTGCATAGACTCTTCATCGTACCTTTACATTTTGTGCACCAATTAACATTTGCGTTATTAAGACTCGACAACCGAAAGTTTCCATATCATGTAAAAAATAAACTAATGCTACTTGATACTTAAATTATTCATTTAGCCAAATTACTAAAAACTAGGCAAGAAAGTAACTAAAAATGTATAGCTCGGTATGGTTTGAAATAATATCAAGGAAAACTCTTTTCATATTAATTTGTGTGATTTACACAATTTAGACTATGACGTTAGATTATTTGGATGAACATTTTGAAACAAAATGAATCCTAACCTATTTCATATCAAGAACTTATTCATTTCATCTCAAAACTGCGCAGGAATATGAAAACAAAACACGTGCATCCAAACACTCGCAAATGCTATAGGATGGACCCAGTAAGAAGTTCGTAAGCATCTTGTCAGTTACGGGATTCGCCTAAAGTGTTAGTCCAAACTTTAATGGCATATCCGTAACGCTTTAAACATGGAGGACCGATTTGTTGGTCGTTAGAAATAGTTGCCTATCTGGTTCACAAAGTTTAACGACGACTACCCTCCAGAAAAGATCCAAAGAACGGCATAACGATCCACACCCCAAAAGAACAGGAGGAAGAAATTCTTCTATCAGACAAAAAGAAAAAGGAAAAGGGCGACAAAAATCAGAAAACAAACCATTTTTGGGTGGGCAGTAGGAAGCAGCGACCCGGGCAGCCAGCCAGCCACTAGTGTTCATCATCTTCTTCTTCTTTCTCTTTACCCCCGATCCCCTCGAAGAATTTCTCTCTCTCTCTCTCTCTCTCTCTGCCTGCGCAGCAACTAAACTGAAATAAGTAACTTCTTTCAAGAATTTAAGGAAAGTGTTCGTTCCCATCAGAAGCCAACGAAAAGTGACACCAAAGGTGAGAGCTTTTCTTTATTCTGTTTATCTCAGTTCTTCCTTCCATCCATCCAGCTTTCAGTTTTCTATATTTGATCTGTTACTTCGTACTCTCCGTACACACCCTCTTCCTTTTCTCTCTCTCTCTCTCTCTCTATGATTGACCGACCCACTTTGCTCAATTCTCTTCTTCCAATCTCAGCCTCAAGTGCTTCAACTAGGAAAGAATACCCTTTTCAATTCCAGATCTTCATTTGGTAAAATTGAGAATTTCTGCTGCTTGTTTGTTTGGTCTCCTTAGTTTTGCTTCTGCATTTGTTTACCCATCTTGATCTGTTGAATATTTAGGAACTGGAATACTAACAAAGTTTTTATCTTTGATTTGGAGCTGCTACTGGGCTACCCTGCTTTTTTTAAACTGCTTCAAGTTCTCTGTGTTTCTCTGTTTTTCTCCAAGTTTTGATCGAATTTATCTGTTCTTGAGCAAAAATGATAATAACATGGAAGTTCCTTCTGCCCCCCTTTTTGTTGCTTTTTCCAGACTTGGTTCCTCTCTAATTTGGCTTGCAATCTGAGTGAAATCAGGGTTGAGCTTCAAACTAAAGCCGGTTTTATGTAGAGTAATCCTGCACAGCGGGAATTTGCTAAACCCTAATTCTCTAGTAAGTCATTTGGTGAGCTGTGAGAAAATTTTCTGGCCAATGGAGGCTGCAGCATTTGATGCCGGGGTTCAACAACCAGAAGGAGAGGAGAACTTAATCGAAGCTGCGAAGCAAATTGTGAAGGCTTTAGGGTCGGGAAAGAATCTCACGGATGATGCAAGGAAAATTTTGGCTGACCTGGGCACCCAATTGTCCACCATAAACATAATCAGTGAGGACAAGGACGGCGACATAGGCGAGCTCGAGGCACAGTTGGATGCAATTCAGGAGAAGATTGCGAATTGGGAGGCTGACCAGTCTATGATATGGGATTCAGGTCCCGATGAAGCTAGTGAGTATATGAATGCCACTCTAGAAGCCCAAAGATTGATTGAAAGATTGGAGAATTGTTTCCCTGGTGGTGGTGGTGGAGATGATGCTGGTAGAAGGGATTTGCTAAGCAGGGGGCACGATGTGCTTCAAATGGCAATGGCAAGGCTCGAGCAGGAGTTTACAAACTTGCTTGTACAAAACCAGCTACCATTTGAGCGAGACAATATAGCATCTTTCCGTTCAAGTGAAGATGATGGTCTCGATTTCAACTCGTTTGTCTCCACTGGTGATGATCTTGAGGACCCGAGTAATCGAGATAGCAGCGTTAGCCGGAGCTGGGAGGAACTCACCATTGATATGGTACACCCTGATGCTATCCCAGACCTTAGAGATATTGCTGAGTTGATGTTTGTTTCTGGTTATGGTCACGAATGTTCACAAGCATATATCACTGTTAGAAGAGATGCCTTGGATGAGTGCATGTTCATTCTCGAAATGGAGAAACTGAGCATCGAGGATGTACTGAAATTGGAATGGGGGAGCCTTAATTCCAAGATTAAAAAGTGGATCCGAGCTTTGAAACAGTTTGTCCGAGTCTATCTTGCCAGCGAGAGTTTCCTCAGCGAGCAGATCTTTGGACAGCTCGAGCAATCATCATGGTCAGTTTGTTTCATCGAGGCGTCAAAGGGATCAATGCTGCAGCTGTTGAACTTTGGGGAAGCCATATCTATCGGTCCTCACAAACCAGAGAAGCTCTTCCCTATCCTCGACATGTACGAGACCATTTCAGGTATGATTCCCGACCTAGATTCTCTATATGCAAGTGGAGCTGGTTCGTGTGTTAGAATCGATTGCCACGAGCTTCAGAGAAGGTTAGGTGATTCAGTTAGGGCAGCATTTTTGGAATTTGAGAATGCAATCGCGACAAGCACTTCAACAATAGCTTTTGCTGGAGGAGGGATCCACCATTTGACACGCTATGTTATGAATTACCTCAATACACTCACTGACTACCAGGAATCTTTGAATTACCTCCTGAAAGACCACGATAGACAGAATGCTGTTATGTCGCCTGATCTAGCTCCGTCAACAAGGCAAGAAGATGATGCCAGCGGGGAACCTGCTGCAGACGATTACGCCACCATGGCTCTACACTTCAGGTCGGTCACCTCGATCCTGGAGTGCAATCTTGACGACAAGTCAAGGCTGTACAGGGATCCATCCTTGCAGCATGTATTCATGATGAACAATGTCCACTACATGGCGCAGAAGGTGAAGAATTCAGCAGCATTAAGGCACGTGTTCAAGGACGAGTGGATCAGAAAGCACAACTGGAAGTTCCAGCAGCACGCAATGAGCTATGAGAGAGCCACGTGGAGCTCCGTGCTGTCCTTGTTGAAAGACGAAGGCAACTCCCATCCGGGATCGGTCTCTAAAGCTCAACTCAGGGACCGGCTGAAGAACTTCTATGTGGCGTTCGAGGACGTTTACAGGACGCAGACATCATGGATCATCCCCGACGCTCAGCTACGCGAGGACCTACGAATCTCGACCTCCCTCAAGGTCATCCAAGCATACCGAATGTTTATCGGGAGGCACACAAACAGCATCGGTGATAGGCATGTTAGGTATAGTGCTGATGATTTGCAGAATTATTTGTTGGATCTGTATGAAGGGTCTCAGAAGTCATTGCACAATCCTCACCGTAGATGATGATGATAGTGATTATGATAGTAAAGGGTATTTGTATTAGTATTCATTAATCCAGCTACAGATCATTAGGCTTTTCTTTAATCATATACAAGTGTAGTTATGTGCATCATGGAAGTTGTATTTTCTGTATCAATAATTATGAGATATATGATGGGATTCGAAGTTCAAACGTATGAAATTGGTCAATTTTGGATTGCTTTGACGAGCTTTCAATATTGAATGGTCGTGTTCCATATACAGGGCATCATTGACGAGCCAATCAGTCATTGTACAATCAAGAAAGGGCACGCAGAAAACGGGTCAACGTGTTTGTGGAAATTAAGACAAATTTTTTGATTCTATAACATTCAAATAATCGTTCATTGGATGCTCATGCACCCGCCTTCTTCCTGGAACTCAGAGTCTGAAATGCTCCTGGGCAGAGATCCCATTAAGCCCTTTAGCATAGTAATGTTCAGTGAATTCCTTCAGGGCAGTCTCCCTGTAAACCGGGGGATTCTCATCCGATATCAGCTCCTTGAGCGGGCCATAAACTCGGGAGGGAGTTCTCAGGAAGCGGCTGCGGTCTCAAGAAACAGGCTATTGAAATCCTGGGGCCTATTGATTTAGCAGCAACTACTCTGTGTTAAGAGCTTTTGAATTCCTCGTTAGAGATCAACTGCATGTTCCATTGCCAAAGATTTGAGTATGAAAACCAGTTAGTTTTATAGCAAAACTTGGAAACATGCACGGTCCAGTTTTTACCTGCATCAAGTCTCCCAGATTTATAACAAGAGCATTTGATGTGGGCTTCACATCAACCCACTGATCAGTGATCATCACAAAAGACCTGAAGACCGCCAATTTGGTCTTGGAGAAGCACAGTGAGAAAGCTGCTGTCAGAATGGCTGCTAGTTCCTATTGTCAAATCCGGTTCTGGACAAGCCGGATAGTAATAACCCCAAACCTTCCAAGTTCCAAGCAACCTTTCATTACATGTATTAACGGTTTGATGTGATTACAACAAAAAAAAATAATAAATAAATAAATAAATAACTAGATTACAAAAAGAAAAACGGTTTGATGTCATTTTTAAGGGAAATACTTAGCTGCAACCCAGTTTGCAGCGTGCTCCTGCTGCCAACCCAGGTGGCTTTCATCCATTGGCTGATTTCTTATTATTAATTATATTTTTTATTTGCAACTTTTACTTAATTTTGCCACCGACCTGCCGAGACTCCATGGCGACACTGTCCCAATGATATAATCTCCTAAGATAGCATCTCCTCTGTCATCATTCTTTCTATTAGCCTACCTCCGTCGACCGACAATCTGTCATTATAATCACTTATGAAGTTATGATAGCATCTCCTCTGCCACCATTGTAATGGCATCATAGTGGGTAGACAACGGCTTCCGCATACAACCGATTGGAGGTTACAAATCCTCAAATTCATACCGAATAATTCGATCGGTATTTCAAGTGCCCGGTGGCAGCGGCAAACAATTTCAGGCCATCAGCAGGGAAGCAATCGCAATGACGAATGGTCGATGAATAGAATCCAGCGGAAACAAAAAAAAAATAGTACCTCAATATGGAAAAGTTGCAGATATTAAAATATAATTAAAAATAAGAACTCAGCCAATAGATGAAAGCCACCTGTGTTGGCAGCAGGAGCAAGCTGCAAACCAGGTTGCAGCGAAGTATTTCCCCATTTTTAATTGTTATATATCATTGTTAATATTTTTGCTTAGTTTTGAACGTAATACAACAATCATATGTACTTTTTGACTGGTAATTGATACTTAACACTGAGTCTGAACATTATATTTTTGTGCTTGTTTTCAACAAAATACAATTTTGTTATCATTGATCGATGAGAACGATAATGTAAACCTATATAAGTTGATTGCAAAACGTCAACAATGTCATTGAAAGGGGAGCGGTTACGGTGCTAATTGTACAATAGTTAGCACCGTCCTAACCAAGAGAAAAACTACTACTAGTTTGAATTAGTAGTGATTTAGCTTAGATGTTGTATTGATTTTATAATAATCCGTCTACTAGTTTGAATTAGTAGTGATTTAGCTTAGACGTTGTATTGATTTTATAATAATCCGTAGTGATTTCATTATTTTTAGTAGCGTTTTTGCTAGTTATCACGGTGCTAACCCCTATAAGTGTTAGCACCTAATCTCATCCCCATTGAAAGTTGTAATAAGAGGCAATGATTGGCTAGTTATGAACATGACATGAAAACATGAATCGTAATAGAGATGGTGTAAATCTATGATAACTTTGTTTAACCCTTTAATGACAATGTGACATAACTTTAATAATTCTTTGATAATTGTTGATGATGGAAATGTATATCGTTAGCAGTTGAACTAAAATCGTAATAGTGTAATTGTAAAACATTGAAAAGTATATTAAAAATGTTAATAATGATGAGATATATAAATAACAATTCATTTCATAAACATTGATAATGAAATTGCAAATGTCAATCATGTCATTGTAAGTTGCCACGGAAAGAGAATGTAGGCAATCTGAATTTAAAATTTCCTTTTTTTCAAACGTAAAATATTACTTACGAATTTCCATTTTAAATCCAAATTTTATTAACTATAAATAATGATATTTAATTAATATACCTTATTTATCACTTTAGGTGGTTAGACCTCAATTTCTCTCTCCTTCTCTTATTGGCCAATACAAAGTTACAAACTTAAGAAACTCCTTAAGTTTTAGGCTTAAGGACTGGATCTAACCCGATACTTTTGCTACTTTCAGATCATCCGTTGATAAATAGGGCTGTATTATGTAGGATTGTAGGCACGACCCTAACGCATCCTAAGCAAATAAATACATAATTGTATCTTAAATGTATACGCTATTGTTTTTACATGATATATATGTACTTGCTGTAATTTAAGTGCCCGCGAGCGTAATGGTGGGTATTGATTCTTGTATATATAAAAACGGCCCCACTCAAACCCATTTTCATCCCTAATCTTCATGTCAGCTGTTGGTACCACTTACCACGTTGTGGTAAATGTGCACATGCAATTCATGGACGGCGGGACCAAATTCTAAAAGAATAAGACAAATTTGCTGGCCTCCCATCCCCTACCAGCGCCAAAAAGCAGCCGGGTAAATGAGCAGTAGGGCCATTACCAATCCACGGAGCTTTTGGGTAGTTTGATTCACATTAAAAAAAAAAAAAAAAACAGACCGGCCAACTTCAATGCACACTTTGCATTGTTTGGTGAAAAATTAGGTTGTCAACCCGCGAGTTGATTCGGATCCGGTCGAGTTAGTGAGTTAAGGGTTATGGGTCAATCGTTTTAGTCTGGTTTGGCCTAAAAATATGAAAAGAATCATTATATTGTATCTATCATCGTAAATTATATCAAATCTTATCTAACATATGAGTTATATGACATATAATATTACACCAAAATAACATATTGTTGATGTGACTTGAATCGGACTATCAGCCGCTACGACTGGTAATCGGGGGTCTCGCTGCCCGGTCAGCGAGTGGGGTCCAGGGGCAACGCCCCCGGCCCACGGTGTATGGGCTCAATGTTATTTGGGTTCGGGTTCTGGGCCTGGTCTGTACCGTTTCCTTTGCCATATTGGATTAGGTTTAGACCCACATGGAGAAGTACTATAAATACTTCTCATACTCTTCTGTAATCTGTAATCTCCTTGATATAGTGAAACTGGCTCTCTCTCGCCCGTGGACGTAGCTAACACACATCGTGTTAGTGAACCACGTAAATCGTGTGTCGTGTTTTCGATTCTCGCTTTCGTATTCTTGCTTTGTCGATTCCTGCGATTTCCCGATCCGTAGCAGCGCGTTTCTAACACATATCGTACTTAGATCCAACATATAGTGAAAATTCACACACACTTATATAACATCAATATTCAAATGTTCAACTTAGGATTCCAAAGATTGATTTAGGCGAAAAGAAAAATCGGAAAACAGACGCATTTCGCAAACCAAAAAAAAAACACACAATTTGACCTCCAACCCGGTACATTTTAGCGGTCGATCCGACGAGTGCGTGCGGCCTGTTTTTCTCACCGGGTCAGTGTCAAAGTGGATCGACCCACGGGTTGACAGCCTTCGGTGAAAATCATAATATCTTCTTCTGAGACCAACCGTTGACTGAAACGACCAGTGGAAAGCGGCGGTAAAATTTTTGTAAACGAAACTATATGATAAGCTGTAACAAAGGGTATATATATGTAAGGCCATAGTTCAGCATTCTGCAATTGGAGATAGGTCGGTCAAGCAGCCGCAAATGGCTTTCCCACCTGCTGCCCTGGAGTAGTAACTGGACACTAGTTTCCTCATCATCTTCAACCAACCCTATCCTCAATTAGCTCGATCCAAGTCAAGATGGTCGAAGAGCTTCAATGCAGTAACAACCCATTCTGCCGGTCGGGAAGAAGATGAACTCCTCCTATAAAGATCGAGTCTTTGACACCCAATTCCCAAGAGAGGAAAAGATCAAGCTTTGTTCATATCTGGTACAGTATAAGTAGGTCTACCAAGAAAATTCAACAGGAGAGACTAACGAGTGACGTTTTTTTTTCCACAGAGTAGGGCCATGAACGACGACACCTCCATAACCCACCAAAAATAAAACTAGAGGAAGCATAGCCAAAAGACTTCCAAGTTCCAACCAAGTCCCGCCATTGACTTGCTTCCACAATATCATCCATGGCCTGCAATTCACCACCACCCATTTCACTCCAATCCTGATGAAGCAAAGCTTCAATCAACACTAGGAACAAAAGTAATACGATCTCCTTGCCTTGATTCTCTACCTGCCGGGAAACGATGAAGAAACAGGGCATTTGCTCTGTTTTCCTTCTCCTCATCTTCACCCTGAATCCCTCCTCCACACTCTCCGCCGACGACTACACTCCCATCGACAACATAGTCGTCGATTGCGGTTCCACAACCCCCGGCAGCAACACCGCCGACGACCGGAGCTGGGACGCCGACAACCCCTCGAAATTCCTCCAGCCCGGTTCAGAGTCGGCTTCTTCCACACCAACGGAGCCTTCCACAAGGCTCGAAAAAGTGCCTTACCTCTCCGCCCGATGGTCTCGCTCCAACTTCACCTACTCCTTCCCAGTCAACCCGGGCCAGAAATTCATCCGCCTCTACTTCTTCCCGGCGACATACTCCCCTGATTTCAACAAATCCGCCGCCTCCTTCTCCGTCGTCGCCGGCCAATTCGCCCTCCTCGACAGCTTCATCCCGGATCTCCACCCTCTATCGACAAAGGAGGACGGATTCCAGTTGGAGTTCTGCTTAAACGTGAACCCTAACCAGCAACGTCTCAACCTCACCTTCTCCCCAATCCCCGGCGCTTACGCTTTCGTCAACGGGATCGAAGTCGTCTCCATGCCCACAAATCTCTACTACTCCAACGCCGACGCTGGGCTCAACATCATCGGCAACGGCAATCAGCAGGGCAGCATCCGAAACGACACCGCGTTGCAGCTGATGTACAGAATCGACGTCGCCGGGCAAGGAATCTCTCCCGACGGCGGCACCGGGATGTATCGGCAATGGAGCCCCGACGATAAATACCTCAACATCGATCCTCCTCCGAGCTCTGCTTACTACAATGACTCGGTTCCCCTGAACTCCATTTACAGTAACAACTCGATTCAGCTGCAGTACAGAAACGAGATCCATAAGCTCGTCGCGCCGGCGACCGTTTACAGAACTGCCCGGGGGATGTCGAACATCAGCGAATTGAACCTGCAGTACAATCTCACATGGAGTTTCCCGGTCGATCCTTCGTTTACATACTTTGTTCGGCTCCATTTTTGTGAGATTCAGCCACCTATCAACGGCAGGGATAACAGGGCTTTCTGGATCTACATCGCAAATCGGTCCACCGGGTCTTATACGGACGTGATTCAAGAAGCCGGCGGGAATGGATTCCCCATGTTCAAAGACTACTTGGTGAGAATTGAAGCTGAGGAAGAGAAGAAGCAATTGCCCTTGTTCGTTGCTCTGCATCCTTTCCCAGATAACAGCGCCCACTACAATTCGATTCTGAACGGAGCTGAGATCTACAAATTGAGCCGGTCGGATAGTTTGGCCGGACTGAATCCCGACCGCCTGCCCAACCCATCGTCGCCGGATCCGTCTTCCTCCTCCTCGACTTCCAGCCGGACTAGATTAATCCTCATTGTCGCCGGCGGCGTCGTGTTAGGTCTCGCCGTGGTCTCTCTGCTGCTATTCTTCGTCTTACGGCGGACGCGGAAATCCAAATCCTCATCGAATTACATCGACGCCGGATCGGCTTCCAAATCAATGCTACCATACTCTTCCTTCGCATCAACCAACCAGACATCCACCTCAAATCTCCCCTCGGAACTTTGCCGCCGATTCTCTCTCTCGGAGATCAAATCCGCAACGGGAGGCTTCGACGACAACGTCATCATCGGAGTGGGAGGCTTCGGCGACGTGTACAAGGGGCTGATCAATTTCAACGGCAGCGGCGGCGGCGGCGCAACCACCGTGGCGATCAAGAGGCTGAAACAGGGGTCGCAGCAGGGAGCAAACGAGTTCCGAACAGAGATCGAGATGCTCTCCCAGCTCCGCCACCGCCACCTCGTCTCCCTGATCGGATACTGCTACGACGAGGAGGAGATGATCCTCGTCTACGATTACATGTCTCACGGCACCCTCCGCGACCACCTCTACAACAAATCTCATCAAATCTCCCCTCCCATTCCATGGAAACAGCGATTGGAGATCTGCATCGGGGCGGCACAAGGCCTACACTACCTACACTCGGGAGCCAGCAACACAATCATCCACCGCGATGTGAAGACCACCAACATCCTCCTCGACGAGAATTGGGTCGCCAAGGTGTCGGACTTCGGGCTCTCGAAGATCGGGCCCACAGCCGGGGCGGCGAATGCCCACGTCAGCACGGTGGTGAAAGGGAGCTTCGGGTACCTAGACCCGGAGTACTACCGGCTCCAACGGCTGACGGAGAAATCGGACGTCTACTCCTTTGGAATAGTCCTGTGGGAAGTCCTGACCGCGCGGCCGCCGGTGAATCGGGCGGGGGGAAACGACAAGAGGAAGATGGTGAGCTTGGCTGAACTGGCGAGGCAGTGTTGCAAGAAGGGCAGAGTGGCGGAAATTGTGGACCGGGATCTGGACGGGGAGATTGCGCCGGAGTGTCTGAAGAAGTTCGCGGAGGTGGCGATGAGCTGCTTGGTGGAGAACGGAATCGACAGGCCGTCGATGGGGGATGTGGTTTGGGGGCTGGAGTTCGCCAAGGAGTTGCAATGCGGCAGCGAGGAGCGGGTGAAGTTGTTGGCGAGCGGCGGCGATGGGGTTGAAGAGATGCGAGGCTACTCTTCTTCGATGGAAGGGAGGAAGAGCAGTGGTGGTTCGGGTATGTTCACGACGAACAGTGAGATTGATTTGGGGTCGGGGGTGAACGGGATGATGGTTATTACGAGTGGCACTATGACGAGCGTTGAAGAGAGTCCAACAACCAATCATGAATACTCCGAAGATTCTTTGTTGGGGTCGAATCTAGTTTTCTCCGAAATTTTGGATCCAAAGGCTCGTTGAAGTTCTTTTTGACTAATTTGATAAGGGCCTCTTCATGGAGGCTGACAAGTCATGTAGTTGTGATGATCAAGTTACTATCTATATGTAATGTAGTCAAAAGTGAGTTTTTACGAAGTCACAGTATTGACGAGTTTTAGATCGAGAGTGAATTTTGTCCGCTTTAATGTTTTTTATTTCTCCTTTTTCTTTTGGTTGAGAATGACAACTGAAACCAGACCGGATGCTAACGAGTTTTGTATCGAGAATACGTTTTACCTGCTTTTAGAATTGGCATGTGTTTTCACAAAAAAAAAAATATATTGGCATGTTGAGCGGAGTGTGAATTGTTAGAAACTTGGTTCGAACCAGTCACGACGAGTTGAGCTCGTGTGCAAAGTTTTTGGTAGGGAGCGAGTTTTATTCGCTTAAGTGTTTTTTTTATTTATCCTTTTCCTTTTGGTTGAGCACCCAAAGCTATAGGTATCCAATCTATTCAACATTGTCAAAACAACTTGAACCCGGTATTTACAAGTTTTCAAGCGGGAGTGAGTTTTATTTTCTTTTGTAATTGACGAGTTGGGTCGGTTGTAAATTAGTAACAAACTCGGTTCAACCCGATCAACGAAAGTTGAACATGACGTTGCCGAGTTTTGGATCGTGAGCGTGTTTTATACGCTTTAGTGTTTGTTAATTTCTCTTTTTCTCTTTGGTCTTCCAAAGAACAAGGCTTATTTCGAATAAGTCAATTTATTGGGGATGATATTGAACCCAAATTCATGGGTATTCAACCTAATTCAATTTGACCAAAGTGAGTTGAATCTCGTCAAACATGAAATCAGTCCCACAAATCCATAAAAAGGAGAATCATGATGAACTTTAAAAAAAACAACGCAAAAACAATACAAATTAATAAATAATGTTACGAGAGAAAATTAAACATAAAAATAATTTGTTTGACGTCAATTTTCTCTTATCGAAGTTCATAGTTGTGTCGATTGCGTTGATTACATGGAGTTGTATATGACAACCCTTTTATTTTTGGATCAAAAGTTAAATTATTAATTTTTAAAATATCACGTTCTTGTTCACTCGCGATAGCGAGCTTGTATAATTAACGAGAGAAAGACAAGGCAGGGTCACGAGCTGAGCTTTCCAGCAGTAGGTGGAAATTTGGAATAATAATTGATACAGAGTGGGTCAATCGCTACCAAACCCCATGAGCAAGACGAATCCTTCCGCAGTTTGGTTGGCGGCTGCCGTCGTTCTCTGCGCTACCAACTTCCTTCCGCGATGCGGAGCTAGCACCTGCCGGCATGGCCGACGCCATTGACGACGATGAGTTCCTGATGGAGTCAGGGAGCAGCAGCCAGTCGCTGAGGATGTTGCAGGCAGGAAGCCAGAACGTGTATAAATCAATCACCCGTAACCAGCCGGCTTACGTCATAGATGGATTTGGTGTTTACTTTGTTTTACCCTACCATACCTATAGGTCGAGCTGGAGACATCGGGTACCGGTGTAGATGGTTTTCGTGCTATGAAATGGTTTGAACCACGATTTTAGTACAAAATATTTTAATTATGATTTTTTCCGGTATGATGTTCGATACGGTTTCATAATCGTCATTTTAAACATGAGATTTATGTCAAAATGATGTCAATCATCACTTATGATGTGATGAACAATAACGCACATGAATTTGCACAAAAACTATGAAAGATTTGTTTTAATTTGAAGGATTTAGAGTTTAAAGATCTAGGGTTAGAGTTAGGGTTTACAGTTTGGGGTTTAGGGATAGAACTCAAAATTGGAGGTCTAGGGCTTAGGGTAATCCGCTATGTTGATGTGACTTGAATCGAACTATCAGCCGCTACGACTGGTAATCGGGTTCTGGGCCTGGTCTGTAACCGTTTCCTTTACCAGATTGGATTAGGTTTAGACCCACATTGAGAAGTACTATAAATACTTCTCATACTCCTCTGTAATCTGTAATCTCCTCGATATAGTGAAACTGACTCTCTCTCGCCCGTGGACGTAGCTAACACACATCGAGTTAGTGAACCACGTAAATCGTGTGTCTGTGTTTTTCGATTCTCGCTTTCGTATCCTTGCTTTGTCGATTCCGACGATTTCCCGATCCATAGCAGCGCGTTTATAACACGCTAATTAGTTGTTATCATATGTTTATCATCATATTATACTAATTCTACAAATTAAATTCAAAATCCAACTCCTTAAGACTAGTTTTTGAGTTGGGTGTATTGAACGCAGTCATTTTTGTGAGTGCGCCGAAGTATTCACCACCACCATTGTATATCAACATTTTATACTATAATATATTTCTATCACCATTGTACATTTATATATATATACCACCATGATATAAATTTCTATTCTGCCAAACTGTACCATCATGGTACCTTTTTTCCTTCAAAATATATAAAATTAGATGTCATTTTGAATAATATAATGAATCGGATTATGCTGTGCAGAATTTTCCGATCGAACATTATCAAAGAAAAAATCAAAACAACATAAACAACTGAAGATATACAATAATTTAAACAGTGGGATCGATAAGTTAAAATTTGAATACTTAATCAACCAGGAGCACTAAATACATATAACCATCATCACAGGTCTTATATATTTATGCACTCAAGTTAAAAAAAAAATGTGATATATATTACATAATGCAACATGCATTATGTACTTAACAAAGAGGGATAGGGCATTGTAGAATTATTTAACATCACAGTTACATTCGAGAGGATGTCCAAGATTATATCGGAATATTGATTGACGGAAACAAACAGGGGTAGAGATACAACATTTTGCAGTTGCAGAGTGCTATTTAATAAGGATTTCAGCCGATGATGGCGAGACCGTTGTCGGATGCAAAAGCTCTCGTAACTGCTCGAGTGCTCTATCGAAAGAGATGAACCCCATGAACCAAAATTCATGATTGTCCACTGTCACCAGCTGAATGTATCTTTCTGAGGAACTTCGGGATGAGTTCACCCTACTCAACTGCTCAACCCTCATCACCACCTTCATCATATAAAGAAGAAGGAAAAAAAACACCAAAGATCCTCATTAGATGTGTTTTCCAAACTTGGAAATCAAATGGTAATGCTATGGAAGAGATGGCAAGAGATGAGTATACCTTGTAATGCAGCCATTGTTGGTGGTGTCCTGCAGTGGGGGAGCGATAAGCCAGTAAGGGGAAATCACTGCAGAAGGCGACTCTCTTGTTAGAGACATAGAGGGTGCCGATCACCGGGCCGGTGGAAGTGGAGAGATAGCAAGCGTACGAGTTGAGCAGCTTCTCCTCCGGCAGACTCCCAAACGTCCGGCTGAACACTTTCTCTGTTCCGCCTTCTGCTAATAACTTCGTCCCCTGTTGGATCCTGGCCATGGCTGTGTCCGCCAAATTGGGGCTCACCTTCACTACATTACACATATTTCCACCAATATTGTTCTCATCAATCAGTCAGATAATTTTTACTTGGAGCTAACCGATTAGAAACATAAAGAGGAAAGAGACATGATTGAAATGAAGAGCGAGGGAAGGAAGGACGGACGTACGGTGACGCCAGATGCCATCGGCGTAACCCTCTGCTTTCTTGGTGGCGTCTTCAAATCTCCTCCCGCAACGGCCCACGGCAACACACATCTTCTCTAACGGTCCTGCAGGGGAGGGGCAGAGCAACACCATGATATCATATATATGTATACATGAAGATGGCAACAATACACTCCTAATTAGCTAGCAGAGCAACAGCTAGCAAGTGATGAATCGAAAATTGTTACTGTTGTTGGCGGTGGGGGCGGAATCGGGATGAACTGGCACCGTCTCCATGTACGGATTGTATGCAGATGATGGAGCAGTGTAATGGTTTCCGTTCTGATGATGATGATCCATTTTTTTTTTCCTCTGCTCTGCTCTGCTAGCTGGTGACTACCCAATCCACGCAAGTTGAAAGGGTTTAATTTAATGAAGTTTTGAGGAGGCAGAAAAAGACGGGAATGGCAACAGCGGCGGATCTAGGGGGTGCGTAGCGTGGTAGCCGTTGATTGGCTTGACATCCTTTTGCCGGCGGATTCGGGTTCCATTTTCAACGGTGCTGTTAAGTTATGGAAGGAAGATATATGCTTCTGGCGCGGGAGGGAGGTGGAACACGGATCAGACGATGGAAAAAGTAGAAAAGAATTATGCTCTACTGTTGGATTCGCTTCAATCTTCTTGCTGCTGGTGGCTCCGCACCATTGATAAAGGAATCACTTGATGTTGTCGACCGTTGAATAATATCTAAACAAACAAAGTGAAAGTATATATCCCTACGTGATAATATAACTATTTGTGTTATGCGAATTTCGGAATCTGTAACACAATTAGTAGTGTGAACATCTTTTTTTATTTGACTAAACTTTATTTATTGTTGTAATGTTTTCATAAATGTAATTTATAAATGTGTAGCCCTTATCTTCGAAATTTCCAAAACCTAAAATTAAATTCATGAGCTACCCCTTATCCCTACCATATCCCAAACACATGATTTTATGATAAAGGGTTTGATTATCTTTTTTTATTCTTTTCTTCTATGTAATTTTGAGAACTATCATAATTGTATTAAGAATGATAGAGTTTTATACTAATGAATTTGCTCACTTGATTATGGAGACAAAAGTGAATTTATCATATTCATTGGCCTATTTGCTACAAAAAATTATATTGGTTTAACGGCCGCAACTCCAAGTATTGTAAGAGCTTTTCCGCTTGGGTTACGTCAATAACAAGTTTTGAAATTAAATATGCGACAAGTTTGTGAATGACTGTCTAGTAACTTTTATTGATAGATATTTGTTGAGTACCATAAACAGTGAGTATATTTTGCAATTTTTTATATCTATCTACACTAATATAAAGGTATTCCACGTGAGAAAGGGTTTAAAAGCTAAATTGAAGCCTTTATCGCATCTCACGGAGGGATATGTGTGCCTTTCTACCTTTTTATTTTGCTTTTATTACCTATTTTCATTTATTTAGTGGAGAAATAATTTCATTAATGGATTTGCCTTTTATTCGGATACAATCCTATTTCTGTTTTTAGTTTACGGTTCCAACATTTTATTTTTAAATACTTAATAAAAAATATTATACAAACCAAATGAAAAACAAAAACAACGAGGGAATTCACATCAATCAGTTTAAAGTACATAATTTCTTCTTTCTTCTTCATCCTTCTTTTGTCTGAATTTGATTGTCGTGCAGATAGTCTTCCCTACTGAATTGCAGTTCCTCGTGATTTCGGTTGGCGAATTCAAGAGATTAACGATTTTATAAATGATATCACTCCCATCGAACCAATAATTAAGATCGCGAGTAGACCGATCTAATAATTTTATTCAGCACATACATACACCTCCTATCAGCATGATCGGAGACTCTGGACTACGAGCTCGGAATTCCTGAGCTCCTGGAAAAAGGGATCAAGGTCCTCATCTATGCGGGAGAATATGACCTCATTTGCAATTGGCTAGGTAAAAAACTGCTCTACCACTTTGGATTCTCTCTTCACGTGATCATAATTTGTGCTTCTGATGGTGGATTGTGGATAGCTTATGAAATTTTCAAAATGGCGACTGTGTTTTTTTGTTCTTTTTTTCTTTTTTCTAAATGATCATATGGTTCCGACAATTTGTAAGGAAATGGTTATTTTGTCATTGTTTATCTAAACTTACATCTAGTTTGACCCCATCAAATTTAGCAAAAACCAACAAATTCAACAACCTAAGCACTCGAACTCGATCATCAATTATCTAGCTAGGCTCATCATAGGCAACCAATGGTAGGCATGAATATAAAAGGAAATTCAAATCCAATAAGAAATCCATCATATGTGGGTTCTCGTTACCGGTCGTATTATATGACACTGGTAGGTTTAAAATTCAGTGCTACAGAGAGATTTGGAGTGATGAGGATAGAATTAAAAAACCATAGCAACCTATATATGGACGTGCTCGCGTTTTGGATGAAGGAAAGATAGGTTGATAGCCTATTATCTTATCACTTTTCAATATCTAATTGCCATATAAATCACTATTTTATAACCTAAAATCAAATATGGAGTGTTTAGATGAGTTTTGGTAAAAAAACACAAATTTATGGTTTGGATGATTTGAAAGCCTGATCACACTGCTAGCTAGATAAAATTTCAGATGGAAATTGGCGAGAATAATCATTTAGTAAAAATATTTTAAAGGTATGGTACTATTTTGGTGGAAGCAAAAGCTATGTGACCATTTTGTATGAGGGTTAAAGTTAAATGATCATTTTGGACATGTCCCAAGTTTACCGTAATAATATGTAAAAAAAGGAGATACCCTTACCTCATCCCTTTTCGAATTAAATAAAATGCTAAATTGCACGAGGAAAGTTGACCATTAGGTAAGAAATTAAAACAAATTAAATAAATAAAACCCGCAAGGCAAGAGATTGAATTAATTGTCTACTAAAGCATTATAAATAAACCTTACATTAGGTAAGAACGATAAATAAGTTCATTTAAGCATATATATATATATATATCCTTTCCATTTTCATACAACCAAATAAATACAATCTTCCCAATTAATCAGATATGAATACCATAAACAAAAAATGGACGAAAATAGGAAAACTAACAATACTTCCACAAATAACGTCGACGCAGTAGCTTCCATGAATCTATATTTTCTTGATAATTTTTATTACCAATTCCATGACTACATATTTTCCGATAATTTTATTTCCAATTATTAATTTCCTCGACAAAGGGCTATAAATACCAAACCTTCGAACGAAACTTTTACCTAATATAGCCAAATCCTAATCTAAACTTCTTCGAGTTTTATCAGTTCCAATTACTGTAGTCGTCATCATTGCCAACAATGGCTAGTTTGTTTAGTCTTTTGTTGTGTTCTGTAATGGCTTTGGTCGGAAGTTCATTGCTCCGCCTTTCCGTTGCCGACGGGAAGCTGGTCAGGACGATGGACAGTGATTGGTCGTCGTGGCAGGATGCCCATGCAACGTTCTACGGCGACAAAAGCGGCAAGGATACAATGCGTAAGTTTATCCACATATCAATTTTTCAATCTTTTGTTTTTTTCGCTTAATATTAGCACATTAAATCGACATAATTTTTAAAGTGACGGACGATTCGGACTTACAATGTTGCTGGAATGACAAAACATTTTTTTTTTAGTAACGGTATAGATGGTACGGACAGAATGTGAGGTGTAGAATTTTTCAATTATTTTGTACATCGATAATTTTTGTGGTTGGTTAAATTATACAATTTGGAGACAAAACATTTTTACTTAATATTGTTTTAATTCCAATGTGGTTATATGTTTTTACGTACACATAAACAGAAGGTGCATGTGGCTATGGCGATCTATTCAAACAAGGCTACGGCCTCCAAACGGCGGCGCTAAGCACGGCGCTCTTCAAAAACGGCCTCACCTGCGGCGCGTGCTACGAACTCAAATGCGTCGACGACCCGAACTGGAAGTTCTGCTACCGGGGAGTCGCGCCGATCCAAATCACGGCGACCAACTTCTGCCCGCCGAACCCGGCGGGCGGCGCGTGCAACCCGCCGATGAAGCACTTCGACCTCTCGATGCCCATGTTCCTGAAGATGGCGCCCTACAAGGCCGGGATCGTGCGCGTGCAGTACCGCAGGGTCACGTGCGCGAAGCAAGGCGGGGTGAAGTTCGAGATCAAGGGCAACCCCAACTGGATCCTGGTGCTGCCGTACAACGTCGGCGGCGCCGGCGACGTGAAGAACGTGAGGGTGTTGGGGTCGAAGGGCGGTGGTTGGATTCAGATGCAGAGGAATTGGGGACAGAACTGGCAGACGGGCGTGGAGTTGGTCGGGCAGTCGTTGAGTTTTCAGGTGGTGACGAGTGACGGCGCGTACAGGGTGTTCCGTAATGTTGTGCCGGCGAATTGGCAGTTTGGGCAGACTTTTGATAGCAACATCAACTTCTGATGAGGCAAGGGATCATTCTCTAGGTTTTTGTTTTGTTCTTTAATTTCTTCTAGTGATAGGTAGTGAAGTGCTGTAGTTTGTGAAGTTGTGGATTATGTTGGCGAACAGAAAAGAAGTTGATGGTTGTGATAGTAACTAATAAGAATTCCCAAGTTGGTTAGCACTTATTTTTTTTCATGCGTTTTTGTCATTTTTAGATATTGATGAGATCATTGAGGATGTGGATGTGGTGACATATATATATCTTGGATATCCTTAGATAACCATTTATTTAATGTTGGGAAAACTTAATGTGAAGCTCACGACTATGAAATTGCAATTTGTCTTTCGAGTTTGGACATAATAAGAGTTCTCCACTTCCATCTAACTTGGCAATATGCCCAAAGATTGTCAGTTATATGAGTGATGTACTGTAATATGAAGGAATGGGAGAAAAAATAAAAAATGCTAAAAGGGTCGTACCCAAAACTTTTTGATAACAATACCTTCAAAATCTTTATTTATCTGAAATGATAAATGAAGAAGGGAAAGCATCAAAATAATTGCAACAGAAAGTCCTAAAAATTGTCGAGCTACTAATAGCTTCAATGAGAATAATTCGTCTTGGTTAGGCAGTTTCACCATCACCAGAACATCCATCTCTTCGTATCTTTGAGCTAATACACTTATAAAGCAGGAGAAGTCGAGTGAATGGCAAAAATGTGGCGAATTTTTTTTTCTTTTCTTAGGGGGCTCATTTTAACGTTACGAAAACTTATATTAAAGGGAGAGTAAGGAAAAAAAAAGAGCTTACATGGAAGGTAGGGTATGAAGGAGAACTCATATTTGGATTCTAGAGTAGTATGAGATGTTAATTCTCATTTAGATATCATTTCATTTTATAGATCCTTTCTTCTTGAAAGCTCTCTTCGACTCTCTGTCATAATAAGGGTGCATCAATCAAAATTGTGCCCTTCAATTTATCTTGAAGGCATGAAGAGAATGATAACGAACAAAAGAGGTGTAACTTTAAAATCCTCAAAGTTATTAATTCGTATTATGAGAGAAGTTTTTGTGTTAGGGATATGTCAAATTCATGAGAACATCTTCATTTGATACAATTATTGAGCTGAAGCATTTCGAAAAGAAAAGATTCTAAGTGAATGACAATTATATAAATTATATATGCACGATCATGTGTCCATATTTTTAAGTAACCGACGGAATTACAGCGATACTCTCTTCTCCTTAGTGAGTGTTGGAAAGATGGAATGTGAAAAGTGAACATAGTTCAAACTGTATGTAGTGATTTGTAATTATACAAATCAAATTGAGCTTTTATTTATCATCACGCTAATCTCTGTGCGCAATGTAATCAGTGTTCGCTGAATTCCAAACCTCTCCATTTTCATTTTCGGGTCCGCTGATCTCTAACTGCGAACAAGATCTCCCTTTACCTCTGCGAATTCAACGTTGCAGCAACTCTCAAAAGTCAGCGGTTCTTCGCCGATGAACAACCAGGTAAACCCTTTCTTTCAGAAGAACTCCCAATCGCCCCCTTCCTCGAGCAATCCTTTCCTTCTGCCTTCGCTTTCCCCTGGTTATCACTATCAGTCTCCGAACAAGAGTCCGCTACTCGCTAGATCACGGCTTACTCTTTATGCTTTTCCTCCATTTCCAATTGCTCTCTTCATTTTATGGATTTTTTTCCCGACAATTCCCTAGGCTGTTCATTTGTGAATTGGGATTTCGGTTGTGTGTCTTCAATTCAATGATCGGACCGTTATTCAATAATCGTGCTATGAGTTTTCGTTGCTTAAGGGGTCCTTGAAATTCCGGGACCGTAGCGTCGTTTCTTATGATGTCCGTGGCTATCCCTAAGTTTTGAGCTTTTTAGATCCTTGATGCTTCTTGGTGTTAAGATGAAATTTAATGGTTGAGATATAAGTGACGAATGCAAAGTCTGAATCTTGTACCTGTTTGGCCTTGTTCTGCTGCTGGGTTTTCGTATCGAAACTAGCTTCTGCATGGTCCTTTATGATACTGTGGAAAAAAGGGATGAATGGTTTTCTGCTGATGATTGGGATTTATTTGGTGGCTAAGTTGTTATTGCTTAATGATAAGAAATGTATGTTGCTTTTCTTCCTGCTCAAAGTTGAATTGATTTGTTAGTGTGGATTCCATGATGGATATCTCAACTCCGAGTATGGTTGAATTCTGAAAGCCTTGGCTTCTCCATGTATAGTTTGAACTACTGAACTGAGCAGGCTATGTGTTTTTGTTTCTTAATACTAACTCTCCCTCCCAGTTTTGGAGCTTATATTCTATCAAGCATGTTTTGCTGTGTGTCACTTCTCCTAATTCTTAGTTTTGCAATAAGTTTATAGAACGTTGGTTGACATGCAGACATTTCTTCTCAATTCAACATTGTAGCTGACAGACAATGCCAAATGATGAAATTCTGAAAACTGTTTTCGCTCTACTGGATGGCATAGACCTTGCTTCTTGTATGGCCGTAAGCAAACAATGGAGAGATATGGCCAAGGATGATTATTTCTGGAAATGCCAGTGTGCAAAGAGATGGCCATCGATTTGCAAAAGACCTAACCTTTCAACTATGTCCTACTACAAGCTCTATCAGAGCTTCTACAAAAGGCAGAATCATCAGATCTTGCATCCGCCGAGACTTTGCTTTGATACTTTGGAATTTTATATCGACATATGGGCTGGAGACAAGTTGATTTATTCAGATGTAGTGCATGGTCCTGTTTTCGATGCTGGAATCAAACTCCCTCCCCATAGAATCTCCAGCGTCCTTGGATATCACCTGCAGGCTACAGAGTACAAGATGATGCTGGCGGTTGAGCCGACCTTCAAACTGCCATTGAGTCAGCCTGTTAGTGTTTCAGTGCTCGTGGGGCGCAAGGACACCAACAAGCTTGCCCGCATCATTCACAATGCTATGTTTGATTATATTGATCGGTCTTCTTATAGAGCAATGGCATTCGACGTCATTGACATTTCCCCCATGTATCGTTTCTTGCCAAACATCCGGGGATGGATCTCGCTGCTTTTCATGGAAGGTGGGGATGAGTGTGAAATTGATGTTTTTGGCATTCAGATGGATTTCAATGATGTTGCCAACTCTAAAGACGAGGTATTGTGGCTATTGGACATGCTTGATTGGAAATGAGTGGACTACAGAAACAAGAATCCTTCCAACATATGGCATGTTCATACTCTGGATCTTAATTCTGATTTCACCAATGTGTCGGTAGTGTACATTGGAGATTTAATTATGGCTGTGGACTCATCTGCATCGATGTATTTGCAGGTCATATGATTGTAAATGCCTTGTCTATTTGATTACACGCATTTAAGGGGTATCTTAGGATTAGCCAGCAACCATTGTGCAGCAATGAATAAAGAAGCTAAAATTATTTGGAAGATCTGTACTCTTATTCTGGTTTTCTTGTATACTCCTTGAAAGAAGTTGAAGTGGAGTTCTTTTCTGCCCTGTTCTATTATTCCCAAGCATTTGTGTTGTTTATATTTGTCGTCTGTCCTAATACCTCCAAGCTCCCTCCACTGCGATTCCTTCATATCCTAAATTCCTAATAGAGGTGTACGGTGGATAGATCCAGATTGGCGGCTTCACATCCGGTTGAGAATGAACATTTCAAAAGTTCCTCAGGCTTTCCTGCTGCACCGACGATCAGCGAGTGGCGGGAGGAACTCGACTATCGACAGGAGGGCTGCGTTTGGAGTGAGAAGCATCGTCTGCTTCGACCTAGGGTTAGCAGGAGTTAGCCAAATCGGCCAAGAAACGTAGTCGTTTCATCATTAGCCGGAAGCCCCTGAAACCGGCCCAACCCCATTTTATTCGATTTTGACCCACTGCCGGCTAGCTCTGTAATATGGCCGATTGGAGCCATTTTTATGCCCGATTCCGGTCGAACCCGTTGAACCGACCGGCCGGATAAGGGTTTGACAACCTTGGAAAAATGCATTGGCCCCTAAATATGACAGAAAGTTAATCTGCTAACTTGAATATTCGTTAGCAGATACTAACTGATATTCAAAATATATGAACTAATATCCAAGTACTAAAGTAGGGGGTGGCTATACGGTACGGTCCGGTTAAATTGGACCAAATTGATCCGGTCCCAGTCCGGTCTTTTCGGGAATATAAAGACCCAAGATTGGATTGGATACAGTCCGGTCTTGATCTGGTCCGGTCTTGACCCGGTTCGGTCCCAATTTGATCTTGATTTTAGATTGAGCTTGTGGGGATTTGAGTGTTGTGGTCTCTTATAGGTAGGAATGGCAATGGGGCAGGTCCGGGGCGGGTTTCTTGGTACCCAGACCCGCCTCGTGGCAGGTCGGGTCCAGGTCGGGTAATTGATCACAGGTCGGGGCAGGTCGACCCAATGGGTATGCAATTTATATGAAAAACATTAGAAATATTCGTTATTTTTATTATAAGACTAAGAAAACAAACAATATTATGACAATTGTAGTTAAATTATTGGAGAAATTGAGATTTTTACTAATTTACAACTTTATTATAACTAAAATATGATGCAATAAAAGGAAAATTCTCAGTAATTTGACTAAGATTACATGTGATTTAGACAAGAATGGGTCGAGAATGGGGCGGGTCAGGGCAGGTCGGGTCGATGAGACTACCCATGCCCGCCCCGTCCCGCCCCAAAACAGGTCAAACAGGTCGGGTAAAACGGGTCAGGTCGAAGTTGCAATCCCTACTTATAGGTCTTTATCCGGGTTTTTTTTTACTTCAAATCTAAGCTTGAATATGAGATTGGATTGTTTGCTATCCGATCCCAGTCCGGTCCCGGTCTGGGTTATACGGTCCGGTTTCGGGTAAAACCAAACAGTCCGGACCAAATAGCCAGCCCTATACTAAAGTATCTAGTGAACACAGACTAGTATTCAAAGTTTGCTACCTAATATCCACCATGAATCAACTATTATCCCAAATTCACAAACTAATATCTAGACAACACATAATAATATCCAAACAGCACATAATTAGTATCCAAATAACACATAAGAGTATCTAGATAACCCATAAGACTATCCATATTGGATACTAGTTGGTTGATTGTGGATATTAGTTGGTATCTGCTATTTGGATACTAGTTTGTGATGTTTTGAATACTAATCTGTGCTATCTTGATACTTAGCAGACTTGGATATTAGTTCATACATTTTGAATATTCGTTAGTATATACTAACGAATATTCAAATTAGCAAAATAAGTGGCTAATAAATATGACCCTAGCTTTGTTTATAAAAGCGGAAAGCCACATGCCAAACAGAGCCTTTAATTTCAAAATTTCCATGAAACTTGTGCAGTAAGCTGACCAGGGGCATCCCCGTAATTAACCACCTTCCTGATTTATTCAAATCTCCATGTGCCAGCAAATATCCGAACCAAATTTCAGAGGGCGAGTTCCCGAAAAATAGAAGAAAATTTGAAAAAGCGAAGAACATAAATAAAAATCTATGCAGAAAAAACCCCAGAAAAATGAAAGCGTAGTGAAGGCAGTCAACCGAAGGGTTATTCTCGTGAATTTTTCGACGACAATTTCCCATTTTACTTTCCCCGCCACTTGGTTCCCCTTTTCCTTCTCTCCCCAATTACTTCCTCCGAATTTTAGGGCTCCGAACCTCTCTATCCCGCTCAGCAACTCCATCATTCACAAGTCAGAATCTCTCCTTCCCCAACTTGATATCTGCTCCCAGATATATTCCTCTCCGAACCACTTCTTCTCTTAATGCGCTCCCCCTTCGAACTGGAATTTCTCCGGTTAGTCCAGCTATGAGCAATCCGGCTGCTAACCCCGGCGGTTCTGCTTCGGGCTTCGGCGCCCAAGGCGTTGGCCTCTCCAACACTATACACTCGGAAGTTGCGCCATACTTGCCCTTACCTTCGCTCCCGGTGTTCTGCGGCGCTTATGATCCGGAACTCCGGCTGTTCGACGAGCGCGGCGGTGGAGACCTTTGGTACTTGAATCGAAATGAAATTGTGGCTCAGTCTGCTAGAATTGCCAGTATGCTTGGCGATACCGATGTTTCCTACCTGTAAGTGTTTTCTGTTGCTTATTCGAGCACAGGCTTAGTCGCCATTGCTTCTGAGTATGTAATAAGTTTAGTGAGGGAGGGAGTCAGAGTTAGTGGTAATTCTAGTTCCTGCTAGTTGAATTTAGGTCTACTACTCGGTAGAAGTGCATTTCCCTGCTAGGGAGCGTAGTTAAGTTTGCTTGCGTCTATTTGTTACATTGCCTCAAATCATTGGTGGAGTCAGGTGGATTAACTTGAGAAATAGACTCTAAGGTTAGTTTGAGTCCTTGTGGCAATGCAGTAGTTGGTGTGTCGTTTGAATGTGATGCAGTATTGTGATTTAGTTTTTGAGGCAACAAGTAGGAGACAAATATTTTTTATTGTTGGTACCAAAAAAAAAAAAAAAAAAGCATGCAGGTGCTCAAACTATTGGGGAAGAGTTTGAAAAGTGCATTCTACATGCAGTTGAATTACTCGGAGAAGGTACTTACAAACAGAATCATCAATTGAATAGGAAGTGCCACGTTTGCATCTTTATAACGCGCACTTAAAGTGAGAATCGTGGGATATTCGTTTATCAAGAGTTAAATATGTCATAAATATTTCAGAAGCTGTATTCAGATGCCGTTTTGGCTAAGAACACAGTTGTACCTGAGTTGCATTGTTTCCCAAGTCACATTTAGTGGCAACCAAACCATGCTCAAGGAGCTTGAGTTGCTCTTCCTTCATTCTGAAGTGAGCATCTGATGTTGGGATAGGATTGACTATGTGACCTAATTCTGGAAAGTTTAATTTGAAGGACGGCTTTGTCGTTTGGGCGTTTGTAATTTTGTGTTGCAACCTAGTCATTGGCTCTTGTTTGTGTTGGCTGTTGAGATTGAATGTGATTGACCTTCTTTTTAAATCCATTACCTTGAAAAGTGTCGTTGATAAAGTTCTGGCTTGTGTTAAAGAACTTGAGTTGTCTACATCTGTCATTTTTGGTGTACTACTTTGATGCTATTTATCCCTTTTTTTTCAATCTCAGCCACCTTAGGAACGATGTGAGGCGGATGGGGTTGGATAATGTGGTACCTTTGGAACTTCATGACCAGGTTCTACAGCACAATCCTGAAGCATATGAGCATCCCACTCATGGTAAACAAAGTTTGTAGCTTCCCTCTTTCAAGTATTTTTACATGTAGATAAGATTCGTTCCTATGTTGAGGCACATGTTTCCAATAGTTGAGCAGTTGGAGTCTGTTTTCAAATCTAATGGGCATAAAGAATTCAAATACACTGTCCCGTGGATTCGTAATAATGGGATTTTTCAGGCTGTGTCATTTTCTTGAAATTAGAATAAGAGAAATCAATAGAAGACTGCTTTGGCATCTCTAATTGGATGCAGAAACTTGGTATATCGTCAAGTGTTATTCTTAGGCTAAATTGGCTCATCCTTGCTTAACATAGCTATGCTTTGTAGGAAACAGTTAGATTTGCTCTCGTTGTGGTTATTTTATTTTTTCAAGTTTCTCAAGTAAGGAGAAAATTTCTGGAATGCAGCCTTGGAAAACAAGCCTGTCCATGTTGAGCCCAGCATCCTTGTTCCACTTAAAGTGCAAAATGGCAATGATCAGGAAAGCCACCACAGCAGCTATACGCCTATTGTAGGTATCTGAGATGAGTTTATATTAAGCATTTGCTGTTATGCTGATTCTTATGCAAAGGAATATTGCAGGATACTGATTCATCTATGAGAAAATCAAAAGGTAAGAGGAAAGGCAGTGTGGCACCAGTGCTGGTTGAAGTGAGCGACCCGTCTGAGCTTGAACCAAGTGACCCTTCTGAATTACAGGGTATGCATTATAATAAGATTTTGGTCTTTCGCATATGTTATATTGACACCAAGGTATTCATAAACAACATATATTCCACACGAAGACTCAGTGGCCTGTCCTTGTTCAGATGCTACTATTAGGAACTTCTGTGATAAACTGGAGGAATTCTGTGGCAAAGCTGAAGTTGCGAATGATGAACGGGATGAAGTGGATTGGTTGGCGTTACCTGCTAGTGATATTAGATTGCTTGTTAATGAAATCATGTTACTTCGTGGAAAGAAACTTTTACATTTGGTCCCTCTTGAGGCCCTTGTAAGATTGTTACGGATTCTAGACCATCAGATACATCGAGCAGAAGGCATATCAATAGACCAATTGGACCATGTAAGTTTCCTTAACTACTTCTGTTTAAGACAGTGTTTGTTTGCTCTAAGTCCGGTCCAAAATGTAGGGTTGGTTTGGCATTTTGATCACCTGGAATCAAAGGGCATTAAAACAGATCCGATGCCTAGGCCAAATGGCTGAAATGTGATGGATGTCGAGTATTGATTGGTTCCCGAGAAAGGTCCTCCAATCCCAAATCCACCATCCACATCTCCCTCAAGTGACTTGTCTTTGAGGGAGATAGTTAAATTCTCAGTACCTTATATTTTAGCCGTATCTTATAAAAAAATATAAACTACAAATAAAGAAATAAAATAATTCCCAATAAGGATGAACATGTGATCGCACATAAAACTAGCTTTTTATTTATGAAAAGAATGCTTTTTTTTTTCTGGAAAATATTTGTTAATTGATAGATTAGGTAGTTTTCATGTATTTCCGGGAAACTGTATAACCTGAAATTACCAAAACCCCACCTGACGTTTTAGTTTTGGGACCAATTTGATGGTGGTGACCTATCAACCAAATTATGTAATTTGAATTGACTTGTGGTTGTGGTTATTTGACCAAAATTATTCAAACCATTGCTTTCGCTAGGAATATTATTAGTTGTTAGTTTCTCTGAGAAGTTTCAAAGTATTCTTCCAATTAATGTTTACTATATCACTTCAACATGGTCATTTTATGGTTCGTGCTCTCCTTTTGGATGTGGGACTCTTTGTGAATCAGATTGCTATAGGAGATATTTTCTTCAACTAAAATGAAGTCTTGTTAATTTAGTTTCTCGTATGCTCACCGCTATGTTCTCCCTGTTTGTATGCTCAGTGTGTGATTGTGCCTTTATAACTGAAGATTATTTGCGCTACGTTTCATGATGTTGTTCTTGTTCCCTTCTTTTCCGTACATTTTGTTTTCATTAAAAAGTGTGTTTCGCTTCAAATGTCGCAGTCGGGCTCAGATGCAGTCTCGTACGTCTTCTCTGCGTTGGAGTCTATCCATGCAGCTCTAGCTGTAATGACTCACAATAGCATGCCAAAACAGCTCTACAAAGAAGAGGTGCATTTTCTTTTTGGCTTCATTTCTCAGATCCTATTGAAACTGAATGTCCTGTAATTGTGGTTCCTGTGCTATGTTTCCATCAGGTTCACGCTCTTTTCTACTCAAGTTTTTGGACTATTTAGATCTATTGATGGGTTGAGGTTTTTTCTTGCCAGCTCATTGAAAGGATTCTGGAGTTCTCTAAGTATCAGATATTGGGTATTTTGTCAGCTTATGATCCAGCATTTCGGGCTTTGCATAAGCCAAACGAACCTGAAGCATATGAAGGTGGGCCGTTGACCTTGGATGGGGATGGCTTTCCTTGTTTTTCTTCCTTTGGACCATTTATCTATATATATATATATATATATATATATATACTTTGCAGACTGTGGTAACTCAAATCTTTAAAGGACTCATGTATAATGATAGGCGATGTTCTATAGTACCCTATTATGTCCTTTCTTCTTTATCTTTATTAATATGTATTTATAAATCCTGAACAATTTTACTGATTACAGACGAATGTTTATTCTGAACATGTGATTGGATTTCCTTCTTTTTGCTAATCAGGTGATGAGAATGAAGACCCTGAGGCTGATTACTGTCCATCAGGCAAGAGAAGGCGTGTTCAGAAGAGTGTGAGAATGAAGAAATCAGCTTACAATAAGTGTGTTCTTTGTTTGTCAATCTGCTTTGAAATTGTCAATTCACTTTTCCCCCCTTTTCAGAGAAACGTTCTACTAATCATTTGCC